ATATATACATAAATATATACATATATTCATAATATATATATATATATATTAATATACATACAAACATACATACAAACACAGATATATAGATAGATAGATAGATATATTAAAAATATACAGATAAATAGATAGGCAGACAGATATATAGATACATAGATAAATACGTAAATACACATATACACCGTGATTGTAATACACACATACTTTGCCACAACTCCCTCGTCTAGCTTCCAGAACATCATCTCATTCGCCAACGATGTCATCTCCGTTGGCGCCGCAAATGTTGTGCGAAACGGCTCATTCTGGTGCTGTTGCATGCACATCTTTAGCTCATACAATAACGTTTCACTGGCTTCAGGTAGGTCTCCTGATACACCCAGTACAAAGTTAGCCAAACGCGCAACAAACCCGAAGTCTTCGTTGAAGTCACAGTGGTTCTCTGCGATCCAGCTGCAGGGGATTGGGATAAGGGCGGAATAGTGTGAATGACTGTATGCAGGTGAATATATATATATATATATATGTATATACTACATATACATATACATATACATATACATATACATATACATATACATATACATATACATATACATATACATATACATATACATATACATATACATATACATATACATATACATATACATATACATAGATATATTGGCAATGCCACATACATACGCGTGAAAACAAACAAATGCATACACACGCAAACACAAACAAACAAGCAAGAATCGTAAACACACGGATACTTACAATGGCATGCAAATTCATGTACACGCACACGAACATGATACTAATTCTTGTCAATCGTTCGACCGTATATGTACAAAGAATGCTCACTTCCTGTCATATAGCTTCTACGAGAAACTCTTAAAGAACAATAACACAGTCTTACTTACTGTGATATAACAAATACGATTTGCTTCTGAATACGTTTGATTTTGTGTTGAATGTAGTGCTCGAGCGCATCTCCGGTTAGATCCTCTGGGGGCTGGATGTGGAATCTGGTGCAACCAAAATATACATATTAGGTTATTAATTATATATATACATACATATATATA